TATGTAGAAATTTTGAAAAACAAACAAAATCCATAAATGTAGCTAAAATGTCTTATGTCGACGTAAAACGTTTCGGTTTTAAAAATTTTAAAAAGACAAAATTCCGTTCAACGTGGTCAGTTCAATATAGAAAACATGGACGATAAAAACACAACGTCTTATCTAAAAGTTCGTGATTAATCAGATATCTGTTGAAAATTTTGGAAAAGACTTGTGTTTTTATGTCCATCGTTTTCACGCCATATTGAACTGAATTTGTATTTTAATGAATTTTGTCTTAAAAATGGTTTATTAAAAACCGAAACGTTTGACGTCGACAATTCTTTCATTTTAGCTACATTTATGGATTTTTGTTTGTTTTTCAAAATTTCTACATTCTGTCGGATTTTATCCATTTACACTTGCTTTATATATATATATATATATATATATATATATATATATATATATATATATATAAATGTGTGTGTGTGTGTGTGTGATTGTAGTGCCGGGCCCATAAATATCTCCTTTATCGATAATTGTTCTCTCGTTAGGAGTTCACGCCACATGGATATTTCTCTTGATCTTTCAAAATTATTCAAGTTGACTCTCTCTCTCTCTCTCTCTCTCTCTCTCTCTCTATATATATATATATATATATATATATATATATATATATATATATATATATATATATATATATATATATATATATATATATATATATATATTTCGGACCGACTATATCTGAAATGACAATATGAATAATAATAATAAGTATGTGCGTGCGTCTGTGTATAACATTCAGGTATATATATATATATATATATATATATATATATATATATATATATATATATATATATATATATATATATATGTTTCATTAAAAACAACAGGCAAGTTATCTACCCCGGTGTGCAGAATGAAGGAGTCGATTCGAAGTTCCAATCTCACCTTAAGCAGGCCGGAGCGTACTACGGCCGAAACGTCGTGAATAAGGCAATGAAGATGATGATAACAGTCCGAATAATGATAATGTCAATAACGCAAGTAATCATAATACCTCATCACACACACACACACACACACACACACACACACACACACACACACACACACACACACATATATATATATATATATATATATATATATATATATATATATATATATATATAAGTTATTATACTCGTCTGGAAAAACTTTAGGTGTTTTGGCTTGTAAATGAACAAACCAATACCCAAGGAAAAATTAAGGATAAAAAAAGAAAAATTAAGAACATGTAATTGAGGCGAAAACATACGTCCAGAATCGAAGTTCAGAGTCCAAAGAAAAAAACCTCCAAAACGAGTAAAGCAAAAGTAACTAAGTAAAATACCCAATGCACTAAGTAGACCAAATCTAACGATGAACCTAAAGAGCCAGGCAAACTTACCTACGTTTTCCCTACGGGGATCGTCAGCGTACCCGGACGATCCGCATAGGCGAAACCTAGGTACGTTTACTTGGGTGTTTAGGTTCACAGTTATATATATATATATATATATATATATATATATATATATATATATATATATATATATATATGTGTGTGTGTCTATACGTGTTGTGTGTGTGTGTGTGTTATTATTATTGAGACCTTTACTCCTGTTCCTGACAGAGGTAGTGTGAACCGTACGAGGTGTGAACCTATCTACTCCAATTCAGGATATAAAAATAGTAAATAAAATATCAGAGTTTATGTAGAGACTTTAGAAATCGAGTCAAAGGACTTTAAAAAGAACTGGAAATCCGATCCTCAACAGGCAATAGGCTAAATATCTACGACCGTTGAAAAGAAGAGAGAGGAAAGTGAACAGAAATTATAGCAAATGTTACACATTACTCCTAATGATGAAATGAAATTTCAGAGTCCGGACTTCGAGAACGAAAAATAAAGTCTCTGAAGCTCTGTAACAAAATCCCAAAGCTTTGATCATGATAAAAGCGTTGGTTGAAGCAATAAAAGAAAAGTGATTTAAACCAAAGAGTTGCGAGTCCACAACGTCGTGAAAATCACAATAATGATGAGGGAACAAAAACGTGGAGAATTGAGTTAATGAAGAGAAATAACCGTAAATTAAATAAAGTAGACTCCCTCATATCCGGAATCCCACTTTTCAATATATACATGTATATTTGAACTATTTGGGTGATATGTAACTGATTTGAAATTTCTGTATTCAGGAAATTTACTTTGGATGATTGCTTATGCTTATTTCACTCTAATGGCTTCTATTGGTGCAAAGAACAACTTTGGAGTTATCGCAAAAAGTGGAAATTTTAAACAGACTTGAAGCAGGTGAAAGTTCATTGTAACTAATGGCTGATTTCAACATAGGAAAGTCAACATTGTATGATATAAAATCTTCCAAAGAAACTATTCTCCAGCGTTCACACTGCCACAATGAACAGCGAACTAAAAAACAAAAAAAAAAACAAAAAAAAAAACATAATTGTGATGGAACCTGGAGTGAAACTGAAAAAGCTGCTGAAAAGGTTGTCAGTTTTATGGAAAGAAAGCCAGCATTCTGCTATGACGATTGTAATAACACACGCAGGGTTAAAAAGTGACTTTCGTTTAAAAAAAATTTCAAACACAAAAGCAAAAGGATGGAGGCCGGAACGTAATTAAATCTTGGGTTCGGTTCGAAATTCCGACGTATATGACCTGAAGAAAGTCGGAGTGTGCAACAGTCGAAAGGTCGTGAATGTGACAATAAAAATGAGGACAACAGTCCGAATGGTGTAAATAGTATAAAAGTTACAATACTTCATTTTCAAAATATACACAGACGTTAATCTGAAGGAATCTTCGTTCTGAACCAAAATATTATGGTTTGACGAAACAAAAAATTAAACAGGTTAAATTAAACCATACAAGAAGCGTCTACACAAGCGGTACACTTCATGTAAGCCTAAAAATAACATGCCAACAGGTAAACGTCTTGATGGAGGTATGACATTGGATTACTTTTCTTCTAGGAACACAGGTGCACAAGGTATCACTGAGGAAATGATGGATTGTGAAGCTGAAGGCAAAGAAAATGAGGGTTTCAAAAAGACCAAGGCAGTCGGCTGACTTAAATCCTACATAAAATTAGTGGAAAACATTTAAAATTAGAGTTCCTCATTAGTTATGCAAACATTGAGCAATCTGAATTTTAATTTGCTAACAGGTGTGGCATAAAATAGGAGTGAATTTGTGTAAGTGACTAATTTCAAATGAATAAATATTGAATGCAGTTTAGGGACTTGTGACCAAAATATTTGCTTCGTACATTTAGCTATATATTCTCAAGTAGTTGTTCTCTCTCTCTCTCTCTCTCTCTCTCTCTCTCTCTATATATATATATATATATATATATATATATATATATATATATATATATATGTAAGAATAACAATCCAGGAAAACATACCTAGGTTTCACCTAAATTATTCTAATTTACCGCTCTACTTAGCGTATTGAGCCCTCTACGTTTCGTTGTCTTTATACTCGCTTGGGTATTTACTTTGGACTAAGGACTTAAGATACTTAAAGATTTTTTTTTTTTTTTGCTTGTTCTGATGTTTTTAGTTCTTTATTTTTTTACTTCCCGTTTTTTCCTCAGGTACTAGTTTGCCCTCAGGTGTCAACAAGTTGAGTCATCCGAGGTTTTTCAAGCAAGTTATACTGTTAATATATATATATATATATATATATATATATATATATATATATATAACATCATTTTTCTATTAAATCTTTCAAATTGCCGAATAAGTTTTTTTTTAAGGATAAATGTGGCAAAATTCATATTAGCTTTTATTTTATCTGTCTATATTTCTTAGATGAGGTATTGTAATTATTTACATTGTTCCGTCTGTTTTCCTCATCTTTATTGCCATATTCACGGCGTTTCGGCTGTTGTACGCTCCGGACTTCGTCGGGTGATTTGTATTTCTAACCGAACGCTTTATTTAATCGACCGGTGTAGATTGTTCGAAATCCACGTGCCATGCCTCTTCCACATGTCTCAGTTATCTCCCTTTAACACTTCTAGTTTCTCTTCACAAATGCAGTAGCCAGGTATTGAACACAACTCTTTGGGTCGAATCACTGGATCCAAGCAAAACTTTAACCGAGTGGGCCATGTGTTCTACGCTAGTGGACGAAATAAAGGGATCAGTTCGAAATTCCAATCACCTGAAGAGAACCGGTGGGTACAACGGCCGAAACGTCGTGAATATGGCAATAAAGATGAGACTTGTTTTACTGTTGGGGTCTTTGGTGTTGGTCGTGCTTCGTCTGGGTTCTCGTCTTCGATCTTGCCGCCAAATGTGACCCTATCAGAAGTTTAGAATTCCCAACAGCATCGCTCTCAGAGTCAATGGATCACTTAAGCCCCTTCACCATGACAAGGAGCGACTATCATGGATGACACGAAATTATGAGGCGCTTTCTATAGAAACATACAGACATAAACAAACATAGATTTCACAGTGGATGTCAGGCACATGGGAGGACCTGAAACAATTTTAGGGAGAATTTGCGATAAACACAGACTGGACAATCAAAACTAATTGCCAGGACATCGCGATCAAATACCACAAAAACTGGACGTGTTTTCTTATTGACAGTCTCTACAGATTGTAATGTATCGTTGAAGATATTCAAAACTATCAAAATGCAAGGCCCTTGAAGTGGAAATCACAAAAATGTGTCACAAGAAGACATTAATAAGTCCAGTTGTAGTTAGAGACATCGGATTCAAAACGTTGTGATAGATGAGGGTATTCCTGGTAGCCTATACAAAGAAATACAAAAATATTTTACTTAAAAGTACATCTCACATATGACAAAGAGTTTTATCTATGTAAAATATGTGTGATCTTATTTTTATCAAATGTCATGAATCCATTTCTGAACTTAAGTCTCTGGTTAGCAATCAAAGAAAATAATAAATGAATGAATGAATAAATAAATGAAAGACGAACAAGAAAGAAAGAAAGAAGAAGGAAGGAAAATAAGGAAGGAAAGAAGGAAGGAAGTAAAGAAGAAAGGGAAAGAAGAAAAGAAGGAAGGAAGGAAAGAAAAAAGGAAAGAAAGAAAAAAGGAAGGAAAACGAAAGGAAGGAAGGAAAGATAGAAGGAAGGAAGGAAGGAAGAAAGGAAGGAAAGAAAAAAGGAAAGAAAAAAGGAAAGAAGGAAAGAAAGAAGGAAAGATGGAAGGAAGAAAGAAAGAAAGAAAGTGGTATAGAAGGAAGGAAGGAAGGAAGGAAGGAAGGAAGGCAGGAAGGAAAGAAAAAGGAAAGAAAGAAAGAAGGAAAGAAGGAAGGAAGGAAAGAAGGAAGGAAGGAAGAAAAGAAGGAAGGGAGTAAAGAAGGAAGGAAGGAAAGAAAGAAGGAAAGAAAGAAAGAAGGAAAGAAAGTAAAAAGGAAAGAAGGAAGAAAAGAAGGAAGGAACGAAAGAAAGAAGGAACGAAGGACGGAAGAAAGGATGGAAAGAAAGAAAAAAAAGAAAGAAAGAAAAAAAGGAAAGAAGGAAGAAAAGAAGGAAAGAAGTAAAGAAAGAAGGCAGAAAAGAAAAAAAGAATGAAAATCCTTAGTTATCTCTGATCATAGTTAAGTGTAAATGTCCATGCATTCAATATTGCTATCAAATCCGATCTGGTGCTTCAGCTATGTATAAATCCTACACAGAATCCAAAGAATCTACAATATTATCGATGCTGGCATGTTTTCTTGGCTCTAGTCACTTTCCCAAACGCCGTTACATAGCTTCCCTTTGTCGTTTCTAGAAATATTTTCACAGTAATTCTTTCGAGGAGTTTTCGTCATTGGTACATCGACTTTAAAAAGTTAAGCGCAATTCAAATAAATCTCATTATTTTACTGTTGAAATTGATAGATATAACTTTAAATTTTATGCTAACAGCTTTGTCTCTCGTACTTCTCGCTTGTTGAACTTTCTTCCAGCTCCATGCTTTCCGGTCAAAAATTTAATTGTCTTCTTAATTCGTGTTTTCTTAAATTTTTTTTTCTGCTTAATAATGATTGCCTTACCTGCGGTGAAGTGATGAAGAAATAAATGTGGATGTAAACCACAAGTACATTTTATCACCTGATGAGTAGATTTAAAGATATTCAAAACAATAGAAATAAGTAACTATATATATATATATATATATATATATATATATATATATATATATATATATATATGGTTTAATGGAGGATTTGGTAATCCGTGTGGATAATTCAAAGGGATGTAATACAGAGAGCTCAATATAAAACCAGAGCTAATATTAATTAAATAATTAAGAAATAAACAACCTTACGTTTCCATGACTATAATTTATTTCCCCAGAAAATAGAATATATTCTTCTTTCTGGGAAAATAAATTATAGTCATAGAAACTAAGGTTGTCTATTCTTAATTAATTATTTAATTTATATATATATATATATATATATATATATATATATATATATATATATATATATATATATATATATATGTCATGTGTGACGTCATAAGATGCGGTGCGATTTTCGCTTCTAGCGTCTTACATGCACGTGTTTATCGTTGCTTAGAAATCATCTATGTAAACATTGACAGACTATCATCACTGTCTTGTCCGTATATTGTTTAATATGTTGTAACTGACATCTTTGATAATGGCTTAAGTAAGCCGAAAGCTTAGATTGTATTAAAAACAATATGGAATAATATTGTGAATTTCTTTCTTCGTTCAACGATAATGTTATTAAAGTCATCAGACGTTACGACAAAAAATTACATAAAATAGACAACATTTGTCTATATTATTTAATGAAATGTGTATGAATGAAAAGATGACGCCTAAATACACACAATATATATATATATATATGTGTGTGTGTGTGTGTGTGAAATGGACAAAGTCCGACAATTATTTCAAGACCTTTATGTCTATTCATTCTTTTTTTTATAGATACAATTATTTAAGTAAATGCTCTGTTTATAATAAGCAGTATTAACAACATTTACCGGCCTGAATGTCCGAGAAATTTTCATAGAAAATATGTCTTCCGACAGGAATCGTTCCGGTTATGTTTACAAATAGTGAAATTGACCTTGCTAACCGGAACGCTCCTCTGTGTCGAAATTGGTAAAATCACGTCAGGCTATAGGATACAGGTTCGATTCTTGTCGGAGGACACATATTTTCTATGAAAATTTCTCGGACATTCAGGCCGGTAAATGTTGTTAATACTGTTTATTATAAACTGAGCATTTACTTAAATATTTGTATCTATAACAAAGAATGTATAAACATAAAAATGTCTTAATATATATATATATATATATATATATATATATATATATATGTGTGTGTGTGTGTGTGTGTGTGTGTGTGTGTGTGCTTAAATATATCTATTGGTCGCGTGACCGAGTGGCCCGAACGTTGGGTTTCCGACAATAAATGAAAATCGAGTTTCGTAACCCAAGCCTTTTGAGTTAAATTAAAACACATTATATATATATATATATATATATATATATATATATATATATATATATATATATATATATATATTATTATAAAACGCAGATTGCGTTTGTGTGTGCGTGTGTGTGTCTGTTCGTTTATATATTGGATCGTATTTCCTACTTTTTTCGACTGATTTCAACAAAACTTCACAGGACTACGTAAAATTACCCGGCGGTGGTTCTGACAGCGCCAAAAATTGAAAAAAAAACACAATTGTTCTTGCACGAAATCAATTTGAAACCACGGGTAAGGGTATCGCACCCGGCCGGAAGTTATTGCCGGCTACTCAAACGTCCGAATGCCATTAACTTCCGGTGACTCAGCGTTTTTTTTTTCAGAGAACGATACACAAAAAGTAAAACAAATGAAACATAAACATACACAAGTCCTCCTAACTAAAAATAATAACCGGAAACTACTTTAAATACACATGGTGTCCAAATGAAACACATGTCTACAGTCAAAATGCGGAAGTTAAATTTTAGTCATCAACCAAACGATATTGCCAACCGGCTACGACGCTACCCGCAGCCGACCTAAATACAGCCGATTTCTTCCACCAAGCAATTTGGCTAACTTGGCGAACAGTCTAACTCTCTACCTTCGGGCGGAGAGGAACCCGGACGAGGCTCAGCCAAAGGGCAGTGTCTCGTTCGGAGGTGGTTGACCGCCCTTGACCCCGTTTATGCGGGTTCAAAGAGGGAATATTTTTGGCCGAGCATACGGGCTCGGAGATCCCACGTTAAACCCGGCCTTGTGCCACATGTAACCCTCGTGGAAGAGTAGCTAAATATCACTTGGCTCCGGGGTAGAGCGACGAGCTCTCACCTTCACTTGGCCAGTCCTCGTGGAAAATAAACCTCCACATCTCAAGTGTTAATAAAAGCAAAGTATGTCAGATTTATAAAGATTTCCTATTTGTCCCTTATCTTATCATTGTCTTGCATTCCTATCTATATTTGATCTTAATATATATATATATATATATATATATATATATATATATAAACAGATGCAAACTATGCCTAGAAGAAAAAATTAAAATAATCAAGTACAAAAATACAAGCCAGTTATTGAACCAGAGAAAAGAAATTATACTTAAATGTCATCATAAAAATAAGTTTATATAGTCTTAAAAATAGACATTTATTTTTCATTAATCACTGAAAAATATATATTAGGTTTGTAACTATGTAAGTTTATATGTATGTATATATGTATGTGTGTATTGTATATGTGTGTATCTATCTATTAATTTTATTATTATTACTTTAAATATATTATATATATATATATTTTTATTACTATTAAATAATGATGTTTAAATGAATAACAACATAGATTGCATTTCTGTAATTTTTATTACTGGTTTCGCAGTGAAAGTTTTATCCATAAAATTTTCCCTTACTGCAATATTCTCAAAAAAATCTAAAGTAGGATCTGTAATGTAATCGGTACTGAATTATCTTCTTGACTTCAGCCGCAGACGTGATGTGGCTTCCCTCTGTCTTTTCTACAAATATTTTCATGGCTACCGTATTGATGAGCATTTTTCCCCTGGTGCTCTGACTACATGAGTTTAAGTGTACTACTAGATTGGCATCTAGGTCCCAACTTTTTACTGTTGAAATAGTTAAATGTAACCGCCCTTCTAACAGTTTCTTTCCTCCCACTTCTCCATATTGGAACTCCATTCCTCTCACTTGCTTCCCTGATAACTACAATCATCAAAAACCTAAATTCAGCATCAGTTCCCATGTTTTGTTGCGTTGATACCTGTTCTTTTTTTCCTTTCTTCAATCCCCCTACACCCACTCTTTTCTCTCATTTTCACTCTCCATAACCCCCTGTGTGATAATGGCACTTCTGACATGCTTGGGATGAAATGCTTAAAAAAAAAAAAACATTGAATATAAATTAATTAGGGTACTGACAAAAGCATCTAGTAAAATAATTAGGGTACTGAAAATAGCATCTACCACAATCAAAGGTAAAGCTCTCCCTACCAGCAGCTAAAATAATAAAAAAAAAAGTGCACAATACAATATATATATGACTGACTTTGCATTTCGCAACTCCCATCGATAGTGGAAATAATCGATTTTTTCCCGCTTCTAGTTTGCGGCCATTTTCTACTGGCCAGGGTGAGAGTCTATAGCTGGCTGCCACGAATAAAAGGAAGATTCTATTGGCCAGCATGAGAGCCAACAACTGACTGACACGAATGTTAACTAGCATGCTAGCATGCAAAAAAAAATCGATAACTGCATTCGTCACAAGTGGGAAAAATTTAAATCTGCATAGCACTTTACTCCAATTGGCTCATTGGTTTGCTTAAACTCAACATTGATTCTGATTCCGCAGAACTGGGTTGGGTGTGAAGAAAGTATTTGTTGTTAACATTCTTTTTTCATTTGGTTTTTCCAGTTACGAGTCCTTTTTTAAAACTGATCGTTTTGTGTTCATTTAGTTTAGTTCTTTTTTCGTAACAGATTTAATGTTTAGTATAGAGCATAGAAAAAAATTCGCAGTGTGAGATAAATAAGAAGTAAGGCATGTAGCAACATCAGCACGGCAAAGGTCACTCCTTTAAAGGCAAGGAAGGGCAAAAATATTTTAAATCAAGTGATAACGATTGCTGTATGAGTCATACGATTTTTGAATCAAGCACAGGCAACGCCAGGCCATGCTGCTATATATATATATATATATATATATATATATATATATATATATATATATAATCTGAAGGTATATAATTCAAGTGAAACCTAATAATGTTAAATATTAAAACTAATCATGGGGGATCTTATCAATTCAAAGTTTTTAGGACAAGATCCACAAGATCTTCACAAATCTTGTGAATCGAAATAGCTATTTTCTGAATGAGGTTGTTTTGGATTTCATATATATATATATATATATATATATATATATATGTGTGTGTGTGTGTGTGTGTGTGTGTGTGTGAAAAGTGTATATAAATATAAATAAATATAAGTATGTATAATTATTTATATATTATATACGCGGTACTTATTAGAAAGTTTGTCTGACGATCGCTAAAGCGTGAAGCCCAGGGTCACAAACTCACATCTATCCAACCAAAAATATATATATATATATATATATATATATATATATATATATATTGAGCTTGTGTGTGTTAGTGTTAGCTTTGTGCTACAAATCTTCAACTAAAGAGAGATAGATAAATAGAAAGATATAGTGAAATAGAGACAGACAGACAGACAGATAGAAATAGAGAGAGAGAAGATTCCAGTCATCACTTAAAACCTTAGGACCTCGGAACTCAACATCAATTCCGTCCTGGGATAAATTTGCCTGACATAACACTGAAACAACGGCTAATTGAGTTTGATAGCGAACCCTGTCGACTCTCTGGAACATCCGAATGAGCCATATGTGACCATCGGTTATTCATTAGATGGCCAAGTGTCGAAGGCATCATGAATCTTCTGGATTACTCAATAAAGCTTTAAGGTTAAGGTTGCCGGGTGAGGGTCGGATAAAGTCCAGCAAGTTGGAAATTAACTTCAACTGTCCCTGGCGTTAGATTTCACTGTGAATCAACTCATTTTTAAGAAATCAAGCAACAGGTTCGGCAATTGTCGTGGGGTGATGACCAGCACACTTTCTTTTTCTGGGGTTATGTTTAAGGCCATCTTTTATAGCATTTTATTCTAGGGAAGTGTCATCGATTCACGCGGGTCATTTGCAAATGACTAAAGCCCGTCGGCAAAATCCAATTATACAGTGATGCCTTTATGGAAACCTATCAAAAACAAGACTAACAGGGAAACTGTTTCATGCCTTAATTAATCCAAAAGTAGTCGTATATTACTTTAAACGAAAAGTTTTAAAAAAAAGTGTTTCAGTCTGGAGACTGTCGTAATACACGATGCGATACGAAAAAGATTAAAATGAACGGCAAAAGTTAGATTCCACTTCTATAAAAATCATGTTAGATTTTGGGAAGTAGCTAGGGCCAACATCTTTTCCATAAAACTCTAAAACACACACATAATAGTAGTATATAGGTGCGACTATCCCTTGGTCCAAATTCCTTCCACATCTACTGAACAGGAGTAGAGGTTTATCCCTTTTTCCTGGTTAGGAATGTGTTTCCGGTCCCTTCGAAAGTCTTCTAATATCATTTGCATATGCTCTTAATTCTTAGTGGCATTACCACTTTGCTTGGGGTGAAATTATATATATATATATATATATATATTTATATATATATATATATGAAAATTTTTCATATATATATATATATATATATGAAAATATCTCAGATTTCACCTGTAGAAAAGACAATGCTTATAAATATAAAGGACAATAGGAAAACTGTAGTTATTGATGACGCGTTTCGTCCAATGTGGACTTCCTCAAAGCAAAAAACGAAATGAATTTGAGAACTGGAGAATATATATATATATATATATATATATATATATATATATATATATATATATATATATATATTACAAAGCGTTAATCATACATTAGCAATATTAATTCAGCTAGTACTTTCAAAGACCTCTGTATATATTTCGTCTTCCAGTTTTGATTATAAAATAAAAAATTACAGCCTGATGATGAAGACAGAGATCTTTGAAAGTACTAGCTGAATTAAAAAAAATACACCATATCCATTTTATACGTAAGGATCTCATCATTCAGTGGATTATTAGTGGTATAATGCTTATAATTATATCTACTAGCGAAGGGATTTTGCCAATAATTGCATTAATATTGCTAATTGATTCAAGGCTTGATTAACTCTTTGTAATATAAAATATATGCTGCCTATTTAATTATGTTCATATATATATAATACGGAGGTAAACTTTAAATTGATAATTTAATTTAAATTGAAATATATTACCCTTTAATAATCATTATTGATGATAAAATTATTTAAATTGGAATAACCGTTGATATTTAGGTACCTAAAAACAATCACGAGTTTATTTCATTAATTTAACAAAAATCAAACAAATAGATGTCAACTTAACAATCAATGAGATAAAAGTTTAGAAAAATAAAAAAGATTACTAAATATAAAATGGATTACTCTTTCAATGTAATTTCTATGAGGTTTTCCAATTGACTGTCTCATAGAAAATACCCAAAATTCCAACGAACTTCAAATTAAATTCTTCGTAGATTGTTTAGACATTTAGATTTATATCAAACCTTAACACCCAAATATACCCTTTAAAGTAATGCGAATTAACAGCGTATAAGAATTTGAATGAAACCTGCCCCCGTGGAATGTAATTTATTAGGGTTGTTGTAGCTTCTTCCTTTAATGTCGGTCTTCTCCCTCACTCCTTACCCATCTATATCTAGAGACAATACACGTTAAGTTTAAGAGACGTCTAGCCGACACACAGTGGGGTTAAGAATAAGGAATTGAAATGGTACATCTAACCCACTCATATCTTCTCTCCCACCTCACTTCCTCACTTCGTTAATTTTTACATATGCTTGATGCGGTCCGTCAAAAACGTGTGAATTTCTTTTCATTTCTCATTTCAACATTTGGAAGTAAAGTCTGATGATCCAGAGCCCTGTTAAAGGGGTTGTGGTGAAATAACTTATTACATGGAACCTGAAAGTGGTCTGCTTTTATTCAAACATATATATATATATATATATATATATATATATATATATATATATATATATATATATATGTATGTATGTATGTATGTATGTATGTACATGTAGTAATGCGTCGTGTATGTGTGTTATGATGAAGTTACTTAACTGTAAATATCAATTTTTGAGGTTTTCCCGACTTCGAAGTTGCTTGGAATTGTCCATTCTTCGGGGGACTGTTGTTTGAATAAGTTTATTTCTTGTTTTTTGCGAGGAAATGCTTTTTCATTGCGCCTTGTATAGGATACAAAAAAAATGTTTATAGTTACTTTGTTTGAACTTTTTTCAATAAGTTAAAATTTTTATCTCTTTTTTTTAAAAACTTTTTCAATCTTTTCCCGTCTTTTTTTAATTCGTTATAAACATGCGCACGTTCATTAATTTTTGCTTTCCTTTACGTGTTTGTCTGTAATTGTTATAATTTTTCAATTGTGAATTTTTCTTCCAATTTTAAATTTTAGAATTTTTTTAATGATATATATATATATATATATATATATATATATATATATATATATATATATATAAGGTTTGTATTGATTTTGTTATATTTTATTAATTAAATTAAAATATTTATTAATTTATGTTATATTAGTAATTAGATTATAATATTCTGTGTTACATTTGTTGTATTATGTTATATTATTATTAGAATAACAAAGTAAATATTTTTTAAATTGCCGGCATCAACCCATGATCTCATTCTTCGTATTTAATAATTAAATTTTGTTATTAAAGTTAATATTAGCAATTATTTTGTTTTCTATAACATATATATTTTAACATAGAATTAGAAAAGGCGCGAGAAAAATTTAAAAAAAAAAAAGGAAATAAGCTTATTAAAACAACAATCCTCTCGTAAATGGAAAAATTCCATGAAACTTCGATATCGGGCAAGCATCATCCAAAATTGATATTTAAGGTCTATTTTAAATTAATTTTATTTTAATATTTTTAATAGTGACCATTATATGAAAATATTTGCTTTACTTTTTTGTACTATCATATTCCTAAATATTACACACACACACACACACACACACACACACACACACACACATATATATATATATATATATATATATATTTGTTTGAATAAAAGACAGACCACGTTAAGATTCCATGTAATAAGCTATTTCATCATAACCCCTTTAACAGGGTTCTGGATCATCAGACTTTACTTCCAAAAGCTGAAATGTCTACCCATACGTAATAACCTAAGTTGGCATAAAATACATATATATATATATATATATATATATATATATATATATATATATATAAAGAACAATAAGATATATAATCCGGTGTTCTTATTGATATTCTTATTTTTACAAAATAATGCTCAATGTAAATTTAAAAAGTATTAATATTATAAATTAACTGATTTAAAATATTTTTTCGCTACACAGTAATAACCATGTTTCAAAAATGGAAGCTAAAATCTTCAAATTTAATTTTGTAATTAAATTAAAAACATTAGTTCCATTTCATCCTCAAGCGAATTTTGGAGTAAATTATTTTTTAAATTTACTAAGTTTAAAGGCAACGAAAAATTCATAATTCACTGTTTCCAAGGACACAGAGAGATCCAATCATTCAGACAAGGAGTGGTAGCATGTTCATTTTTATTAACTTTTGTTGTATCAGTTATTAGTAACGTTCAAAAAAGGGGTTATGTTTAGGTATGGGTAGGGATGTATTTTTCAATGAAATCTGACATCCGTTAAATGCATGTCGCCTGGGGTTTTTAAAAGATTTTTCTTACGACATTTTTTCTATTTGTATACTTGAAGGTTTTTTTGGGGGGATATTTAGGTTAGAATACGTTTTATTTTTAATAGACTATATTTCTTTTAAAACAAGTAAATGTACTAGAATCACTTACAGTATTTAAAATTATTTTTTCATATCAAGTATAAGTAAGTCACATTTTTTTAAATCTTATTTTTAAATATTATTTAAGGGAAATTTTTGACAATGACGGCAAAAAATAGCTATTTCATTTCTCTGATTCAGTACTTTTTAATTTTTTATAAACTTAGTACTATATAGTTTCTCATGTATGCACAAAGGACATGGGTCATTTAATGACCTACATATTCTAGCTTTTCTTATTAACTTCCATTTTACTGTAGGTGTTTTATTGGATTCTTCTAGGTGCCAGAAGTATTTTGAGAGAGATGTTTGATTTCTATATTGATTAATCCTAAATGAACTTTGATGTTGGTTGAACCGTTTTTTGAAATCATAGCTTGAGCAACCTATATAGATTTTTTATGTTTTCAGGATTTTCAATAGAAGAGATAATGCATTGGTATACTAATGATTCCGTACGGCATTTATTTTGTAGAGGACATTTGTGAGGGTTTCCACAGTTACATAATTTTTTGTTATCTTCATCTGTTTTTATTTTTATTTTTCTATTGTCTAAAACTTTTTGGTTCTGGTATAATTGTTTATTTAAGATATTAGCATTATGTTTCTTAATAATTTTTTCTAAGTTTTCAGTACAGCTGTAACTTTCTTTTATTGTATTTTTATTGAAAATAGTACTTAGTTTACTTTCACTAGGAAAATGCTTGACTATTAATGCGAGGAATTTTTGTCTTAATTTGTTCTTTACCATTATTTATATAATAAAGCTCTAAAAGACAGTGGCTACAAAAGCCCAAATGTAACTTATATAAAAAATGAAAATGGGAAACATAAAAAAACCGAAGTAGAAAAATAATTTGGTATACGCCCCCATACAACAAATGGTAAAGAACAAATTAGGAC